AGTATATTGTTGAAGAGAGAGAGAGAGAGAGAGAGAGAGAGAGAGAGAGAGAGAGAGAGAGAGAGAGAGAGGCATTGTTGCCTTAGACACTCCTAGACATTACTGTACCAGCAACAGACCTATTCCCCTTGACCGACCCTTCAGTTCTCCTTCATCATGCGGCCGCTGTTCGAATCCTACAAGATGACCGTGAGCGGTGTGTCCATGAGCAGCTTTTACCAGACCGTGTCCGAGTGGTCAGCCAACAACCTGTCTCTGACCAACCTTAGGGAATGTAAGTCTAATAAGAGATAAATGTGAGGCAGCGTGGTGGAATCAGGCTCTCGGCAAAATAATCAAAGTGAAGAAACTTGCATTTTACTGCAAGTTTGTGAATTTTTATTAAATTTTCGTTTTTTGGCTGAACACCTTTCATGCCCATTAAAGAACTAATTTCTGTGTGGATTTTTCAGAAAAATGTTGATTAAAGGCACAAAAAATGTAAATTTTCAGTTACCACGGACACTTAATTTAAGGAAATAACTAATCTTTGGCGGCCATTTTCTCACTAATTTTACCTCTGAAAACAAGTGACCCCACCTCTTTTATTTGGAAATATCTCGACTTGTATTTTAGATAAATGGATATTTTTTTCATTCAAATAAAGACAAGTGAACAAGCTTTAAGATGATACCGATAACTCTACATGCCTCAAAATTGACGAGAGCCTGATTCCACTACGTTGCCTCACAAATACCATTTGTATTGTCCAAATTCCCGCTCAGCAGCCAGCTCTGTGCGCTTTCATTATCATCCAGTGCAAGATCTGCGACAGACATCGGCGATCATGGTTATCCATTCATTCGCTTTACAATCTATTTTATTACCTCAGCAGACTTGATGATAGCATTCTGAAACAATCTCAACTTTCTGGGAAGCATACCGTGCAAGCTGCCTTTTCTGGGTGCTATGACACTAACATACTGACAAGACCTTTCACTGTCTATGGCCGGGTACCCGTTCTTGCCTGGGTGAAGTGAGGAAAATGTGTGTGAAATGCCTTTCCCGAGGACACAGCGTTGGGCCTGAGCCTGAAATCTTCGAACTTGTAACCTCTCGACTACGAGTCCGGTAGCCTAACAACGCTTTCTCTGTTTTGATATAGATTTATTTATGCTTCCATTAAATTAGCACAGTTTATATTGTTTTGTAGAAGGGCTTCTGCCTTGCCTGACAGGGTCACCCTGGATGGATGAGAAGGATTTAAAGTCCCAGGAAAAAGACTAAGATACTCAATATGAATTCTCTCCTCACAAGAATTGAACTTCGATCTTCTGGGTGCAATTGCGAAGCGTATATATGTATACACTTTTATTTATTATCTACCTGTGTGTGTGTGTGTGTGTGTGTGTGTGTGTGTGTGTGTGTGTGTGTGTGTGTGTGTGTGTGTGTTACTTTATGTGTGTGATTTTGTATGTATAACGACTGTGCTGCTGTGCCGTTATATGTTTTACAAAACGGATTGTCCAAACTGATAGAGTGAATCTCTGTTTTATGTACGAACAAATCGAGTGGGGGTTTTTCTAGGTACAAGGAAATCGAGTGTTTTTGACCCACATTTTCCTTCGAGTATTTTTTTCATAATGGTCTTCAATAATAGCAGTTATATAGCGTTCTGACCCGTTAAAAAAACAAACGCTAGTACTAGGCTTCCAGTGGGGATTTTTTCTTCTCCCTCTACTGTGGTCTCACTTCAGTGTGTTTGTCTGTCTGTCTCCCACAGTGACATCAGCGGCCCTCAGTCACCTGACGACAGAAGAGTCGGGCCACACCCCCAAAGACCTGGTCAGTGTTGGTCACTTCAACAACACCAGCAGCGGTAGTTTGGTCTCTGGCACAGATGTGAACCACGAGGGAAACAACTCCGAGAACGACCGACTCCACATAAATGTCGGCTATCAGACTGTTGTCCCGCCTGTGTTTGACGCTGCCAGAGACAGGAACATGGCTGGTGCGAACCATCTCCTACATCTTTCACCTCACGAACAGCATCAGCAACAGCAGCATCATCAGCAGCAGCAACAGCTTCATCACCACCAAAACCACCTGCCTTACGACAACAACGCCAGAACTAATAATAGCAGCACCACCCCCAACAGCAGCAACAACGACGACAACAACAACATCAGCATTGCCAACAACAACAGCAACAACACTGTGTTATCTGACGGCAACTATCTCCAGCTAGACCTGCAGCAGGAAAACTTTCACCAGTCCCCCGGAGGGATGCCTCACGCCTACGAGCCCTGGCTCTCAGCCCACCCTTCCCACGCCCACCAGTACCCACATCACCCATCTGGCGGTCAATCAGAACACTTACTTCCCCCTCCCCACCGCCACCACCCGCACCAGATTCATTTCCCCTCCCCCCACCACCTCACCCCTCCGTACAGCCACAGCTCCCCAGACGCGTACAAAGCCCCGCCCTCTCTCTACAACGACTCCGCCTACTTCATGGGCAAAGACATAAGCTCCCCCCAGCCCTTCCTGTACCCACCCCTCCCCTCTCTGGGTAGAGAAATGAGATGCGAACTCCCTCGCTCCCACGACGTGCCAGTATCCCCTACAATCCCCACCAAAAGCCTGTGTGGTAGCGAGTATGTCGCCAAACAGAGCACAAGAGCGAACAGTGAGGGAGAAAACTCTCTCCTTGCCATGAACGTTTTCGCCAAACAAGCTGCGGAGACTTTAACAGAGTCGGAGAAATACTCCCAGCTGTCTCCGTCCACAGACGGCTGTGTGTCGCCCTCAAGCGGCTCTTACGTCGGCAGTCCGGGCACTCTGACATCTCCGACATGCCCAGACAAGGCACCGTTAGTTCGTAGTTTGTCTGTCCAGCCGGGATCTCAGCACAGACAATATCTGGTGACGTCAGCGCCAGGTTCCGGCGAGCACACGCCCATGTCCACCAGCCTGTCCATGTCGTTGCCTAGCTACACAGACACCTTCGGAAAGTCGGACTTCCTGCGCGCACATCGATCCTTGAGCAACTTTGACCACCACGACTTCAAAGCTCGGTCAGAGCTCGACTTTCGGTTCCCGGCGCCACTCGACGTGAGAGAGCAGCACCATCAGACACACACGGACTTTCTCCTCCCGGGCAAGCTTCACAACTCGGGATTCGACTCCACCCCCTCCTCGCTGCTCGCTGACCTGCTCACCCCTCCCAGACCCCACGACATCCTCCGGTCCAAAGGTTTCTACACGGACACTCTAGTCCCGAGCCCCGTGCACAGCTCTATAGAAAACTTCCCGAAGAGCCCGTCTTGTTCTGTGTTCACTGCCACACCCAGTATTCCCCCACAGTCGTACAAACAGTCAACAGCAAACAGCACCATGTTCTCCGGTCTCTCCAGCTTCCTGGAACCGTCTTTAGGTCTGACGGGAAGAATAGCTCCAGACACTTCCTCTTTAGCTAGTCACGTGACTTCAGATCTCAATTTTTCCTACGAGAAACTCCACGAGAGATCCTCGCTTCCAAAACCCGAAGCCATCCACCCCCATAGCGGCGTCAAATTGCCCAAAGTGCCAGACCTTGGACACACTTCGAGCAGCCTGACTCCCAATTCTTCCTCTTTACCACATGAAGTGTTATCCAAACAGCAAAGTACCCAGTCCACAAACAAACTCGATGACGTTTACTGCTCAGCCTTCTGCCTGGAGAACCCCTTCATGCACAAACGGCCGCCATACTTCGAGATGGCTCACCAGCAGCTGTTGAAGGACTACAGCCCCGGTGACGTCACAGACTGCCCACACGGCCGCCAGCATGACATCATTGACCAGTCTGCGTCACCCTGTTCGTCTGCTCACAGCAGCGACGCTTCCGGTCTGCCCATCTTCCCGGCCTGTGAGCTGGGCTCTTCTTTAGCACACAGCCAGCCACTGAGGAAATCCCCGACCGAGCAAAATGTCGACGGCCGACATGACATGGCCTCAAGTCCCTGGAGACATGCCGGTCACAACACTTTCCACAACACTGGCAATGATCCTCACAGCATTAACATCATCGACAACAACAACAGCAGCAACAACAACAACAGCAGCAACAACAACATCAGCAACAACAACAACAACAACAACAACACAAACAGCATCCCAAAATTCACAATCATGGGAGAGTCCAGTCCACCCAACGCCATACCCATTTCCCCTCCCACTGCCCCGCCCGCAGTTTTGGAGACTCCGCCCACCGCCCCACCTACAGTGCTGGAGACTCCACCAACCGGCCTGCCCACAGTATTGGAAGCTCCGCCCACCGCTCAGACCTCAGTGTTGGAGATCTCCGGTAGCCCGGAGCTGCCCCTCAGAACCACAAGGAAAAGTTCCTTTGAGGAAAGTTTCCCCGGTGACAGCTCGGCCAAGTCCGAGTCCAGTCAGGAGAAGAGAAGTTGTCCCAGTGGCCCTGACCTCTCGTGTGTGACCTCTCTCACGCAGGGTCAAGGTCAAAATAGCTACCTCGATCTCAAACCTTCTTTCAGGGGACACAACTCTCAGTTTGTGGAGAGCCCGTTCGCAAGGGGAGCAATCGGTGACTCGTATCTACATTGTTGATGACGACAGGGTAAAAGTAAAAGTAAAGTCTAACACCCCCCGCCACCCCACCCCGACCCCCATGTCTTATGGGGGTTCACCTGATTCCTTTTCCTGTAAGACACAGCGCCGACCCCACTGTGCCCCCCCCCCCTTTCCATTTTGACTCTGGATCTGTGCACAGGGTCAAGTTACTTCTGAATTGAGGATCCAAGTATACCTTTACTGACAACTGTGACTTATGTTTAATTTAATATGTTATAATGTTGTTTTTGACAACTGTGACTTATGTTTAAAATAAAACGTTATAATGTTATTTTTGAGAACTGTGACTTATGTTTAAAATTAAACGTTATAATGTTATTTTTGACAACTGTGACTTCCGTTTAAAATAAAACGTTATAATGTTATTTTTGTCTTCCAACCGGTGTAATGTTCTCATGGCAATCATGACTTACGTATTTCTATTATTATTATTATTATTAATAATAATATATTATTATTATTATTATTATTATTATTATTATTATTGTTATTATCATTATCATTATTATTATTATTATTTGACTTAAGGGCAACCTGACTGAGGACAATCATGACTTATGTCGTATCATCGCATGACTTAAACTACAACCTGAACGATGGCTGATGTATGATTTGACTTATGAACTATAATATTATGACGTATGTGTACAATTTGGAGTATGTGCAACCTGACTTACGATATATGTACAATCGACTTGTTATATAAAAGTCTTCCGACCGGTGTAATACTGTTATTGTTATCTTGATCTTACACAATGGTGCCCCTAGCAAACTGCGCATGCGTGCCTTATGCTTCCTATTTGTTGCTGTGTTATACCATCTCAGATTTGTTCCAAGTTGCAATGGTAGAAGTATCGTAGTACTAACTCATACCTTTAGGCGTCAGTGGTACAGGTGTCATAATAGTACAATGGTGTAGCTTTAATATCAACGGTTCATGAGTCATAGTACAGTGTTGTGTCTTTAGGTATCAATGGTATTAGTATCATTTTTACAACATTAAAGCGTCAGGTATTAATGGTACAATTGTCATAATATTACAACCGTGTGCCGTTAGGTTCCAGGGGTACAAGAATCATACGCGTTGTGCCTTTGGGTATCAGTTGTGCCTTTGGGTATCAGTGGTATAAAAATCATATACGCGTTGTAGCAATAGGTATGGATGGTATGAGTATCATTTTTAGAGCATTAGGCCATTGGATGAATGGTATGAGTATCATTTTTAGAGCAGTATACCATTGGATGAATGGTATGAATAACAGTTTTAGAGTATTGTACCATTGGATGAATGGTATGAGTATTCTTTTTAGAGCATTATACCATTGGATGAATGGTATGAATAAAAGGAGAGTATTGTACCATTGGGTATCAAATATACAAGAATCATACAACAACTTTGTTCCACTTGGTATCCATGGTGTGGATACCATTTTAGAGCATTTTACCATTATGTATCAATGGTATGAGTATCACATTACAACTTTATACAATTAGAAATGAATAACCC